TTGGAAAAATATAGTGACGGAGTATAACTGTTTAAAGTAAAGTAAATTTCTATACTGTGGTACAGTAAACCATAAATTGCAGAAAAGTATAGTAAATATATATACTGGGGTACTGTAAACCATAAAATACAGAAAAGTATAGTAAATACATATACTGGGGTACTATAAACCATAAAATGCAGAAAAGTACAGTAAATAAATATACTGTGGTACTGTAAACCATACGGTGCAGAAAGTATTGTAAATACATCTACTGGGGTATTGTAAACCATAAAATACAGAAAAGTATAGTAAATACATATACTGAGGTACTGTAAACCATAAAATGGAGAAAAGTATAGAAAATGCATATACTTGTGTACTGTAAACCATAAAATGCAGAAAAGTATAGTAAATACATATACTGGGGTACTGTAAACCATAAATTGGAGAAAAGAATAGTAAATACATATACTGGGGAACTGTAAACCATAAAATGCAGTAAAGTATAGTAATTACATATACTGGTGTAGTGTAAACCCTAAAATGCAGAAAAGTATAGTAAACAGATATACTGGAGTACTGTAAACCATAAATTGCAGAAAAGTATAGTAAATACATATACTGTGGTTGTTATGCGAGCTAGGCTGCGTTCATAAAGTCTATGTGATACCCCTGTGATTCTATGAGTTCCCCCTGAGGATCTGTACAGAACGTATTGTGAAGAACTAGTTTTAGAAGCTGTTTACAGTCCGACTACGCATGCACAAGTTCCCTGCGTAGGAGCGAGCAGTTTCTACTTCAGTATACAGTTGTATTTCATGTATTGTTCGTCGATTATTAAAAACCGTGTGAATATTCTAGGACCACTGCGGTAATTATGATTATATTTATAATACTGTAAACCATAAAATGAAGAAAAGTATTGTAAATACATATACTGAGGTACTGTAAACCATAGAATGCAGAAAAGTACAGTAAATACATATACTGGGGTACTGTAAACCATAGAATGCAGAAAAGTATAGTAAATACATATACAGTGGTACTGTAAACCATAAAATGCAGAAAAGTATAGTAAATACATATACTGGGGTGCTGTAAACCATAAAATGCAGAAAAGTATTGTAAATACATAAACTGGGGTACTGTAAACCATAAAATGAAGAAAAGTACAGTAAATACATATACTGGGGTACTGTAAACCATAGAATGCAGAAAAGTACAGTAAATACATATACTGGGGTACTGTAAACCATAAAATGAAGAAAAGTATTGTAAATACATATACTGGGGTACTTTAAACCATAGAATGCAGAAAAGTACAGTAAATACATATACTGGGGTACTGTAAACCATAGAATGGAGAAAAGTATAGTAAATACATATACTGGGGTACTGTAAATCATATATTGCAGAAAAGTATTGTAAATACATATACTGTTGTACTGTAAACCATAAAATAAAGTACAGTACTGTTTAAACAATTTGCTTTGTAACAATAAAAAACATAAGATTATTGAAACTACAGTAAAGTACTGCAAAATACAATGAAAGACAATACTAAGCGGCGAACGAAGACATAAGATAAATTGGATAAAACTTTTAAATTAGTTTTTTACCTTTTCTTTCATCTTCTGGCGGAGAGTTTCTTTCTCCGCCTCTGTTTGAATTGGCGGAGGTTTCGGTAGAGGAGTTCTTTTCTCCGCCAATCTCTCCTCCTCCTAAAGGCACCGTTCAATAAATAAATTGATATATGCAAAACTAAGCCATTGTTTATGTTCAACAATGAACATTTTTGTATTCAGTTTTAATAAAAATTAACAGTTTTTAAAATTATAAACACTGTGATCTAAGTTATACTTGATCAGACAAAGCTTTAAGATACTTCCTTTAAGATACTTCCTTTAAGATACTTCCTTTAAGATACTTTCTATAAGATATATCTTTTTCTTTAAGACACTTTCTTTAAGATACTTCCTTTAAGATATTTCCTTTAAGATACTCAACTTTAACAAGTTGAGCCCTATATGAAATATATTAAAAAAAGTTACACGAAAAAAACCTGGAAATAAAAACTTTGTTAAAAAAGTCCCAATTTTCTGAAGTCCCGGGACAAAATGTGACTAGAAATAAAGTCCTAAATTTAGATTCCTTGGACTTTTGTCCTAGAATAATTTGGCGACTGCCGATAAAGTCTCAAGAAATAAGATCACAGGAAATAAGATCACAGGAAATAAGATCACAGGAATTAAAGTTTTGAAGTAAAATATTTGAAGAAAATAAAAACCAAGAATAATAGTCCTAAGTCCACGGAAACGTGTATGAGACGTTTTCATAAAAAGGACTTTTCTACTTTGCATCTGCATATTGAATGTTTCCAGGACTGTTTTTAACATCAAGACCCTTTTTTATGGTTGAAAACATAAACTTTCTACCATAAAAGGACTTTTTTTCCGGGGACTTAGTAGGACTTAGTTTCCAGAGCCTTTTTTTCCAAAAAAGCGTCAAAATTTAGGACTTTTTTCAGAGAATTTTTTTGACGGTCACCATGAAATATATATTACCTTCTTCTTAGCGTGGAGACGGGGAGCACTGGGAGCATCTCTCTTCACATATCCCATCTTTACCAACCTTTTTTAGAAATACCGATCATACTTTTCTACTTACCCAAACCTGCTCTTTTACTAAGAACCTAAACTGAAATACAGTGATGACCAGAAAGCAATGGAATAGGAAGACGACTTAAGAGTGTTTGATGTTGTTACAAAACAGATACTTTCATTTATTAAACACTAATTTACTGAAATAGGTCTGTTTACTCCGCACATCTCATCTCATGCTCATTACACATTTTAAAGTTACAACTTGATTCTAAAAGTCGTCCTCCTTTTTAAGAATTTTCTGGTTATCACTGTATTTTTTAAGTCATGACCCAACCCGTTTTGTTAAATGGTATATATAGTAAGGGTCTTGTTTGTTGCTCAAGCACATTAATCTCACTATAAGGGGAGAACTCCATTTATGTAATGTCCCGTTTTGTTAAATGGTATATATAGTAAGGGTCTTGTTTGTTGCTCAAGCACATTAATCTCACTATAAGGGGAGAACTCAATTTATGTACTGTCCCGTTTTTCCGTTTACAGTTGTAGGCGATTATATCAATACAATGAAGACGACTTTTGATTTAATTTTTGATTTATATCAAGCATGGATACAAAGAGAAGCTGTCAAGGTAAAAATTTAAAAAAAGCTTGTTAACAATTAAAACTTGAATATAAAAGTCGTCTTCACTATATTGATATAATCGCCTCCCACCGTATAATCTATGTAAATACCGTACAGGTAACTACAGCTACACATGGGATAGTTCTATTCCACGTTAGAACACGAGTCGGTAAACAAAAAAAATAAAAAAAGTTCAGTTCAAAATAAATGTTGGTACCCCAAGTATCATCATAATTTATACAAGGTTATATACGTGATTTTTTGTTGAATTGTGGGAAATAGTTCATATTTACTTTACCTGTCCGTAGCTTTCTGCACATTATTCTCACTGTTAGCCAGTACATCTAGCAGTAGGTATTCTTCTACAGTAGGGAATACACTCTTTAGATACCTATATAGATAGATAGATAGATAGATAGATAGATAGATAGATAGATAGATAGATAGATAGATAGATAGATAGATAGATAGATAGATAGATAGATAGAAGAGATAAGATGTATATATTAAATTAACTCTCTTTTTAACAATGCCCTTTAAAACATTTTTCTGATTATAGATGAATGAAATATCCTAGTTTGCCTAACTGAAAATCAAATTTTTTCAATTATGGTTGCTCAATATTAGTGAATTTAAAATGTTTGCAGAAGAGACAATGAAGGAAATTGTTAGAACTCAACACTTTCAAATAACTACAGCTTGCTCATTGTTACGAAGGGTTATACTGTTGTCAATCCAACACGTTATTTGTTTCTTGAACTTGCATCTCCGATCCCTCTAATTGCTTAATAAGCATTTCATTAATTAACTAAATTAATTTCATTAATTTTAATTTTTAATTTTTATAGCGAAAAGTAATTAAAAAAATCAGAACCAACATTTTTGTGACATTTGTTCCAGCCTTCAAGATAAGTCAAGATAAGTCACATTCATTTACTTTGAAGCAATTTAAAGGACAGGTGAAGGTGAGTGTGCAATGCAGTATTTAGGCTCTGGTGGGAGCTAAGTGCACCTTGGTGGGAGCTCTGGTGGGAGCTAAGTGCACCTTGGTATATTTGATTGACTTGTATATTAATTGCACAACTGGTTTTTAAACATTCCTTCAAGCAAAAATTGTGTCAAGTTTATCGTGAATCTGATTAGGATATTTTCAAGTTTGGAATGCGCAAATCTTAGCAAGAAAAAATCAACATTTTTCAAAATATTTTCTTAATGATGTTTATCATCTTCTTTTTCATGAGGAACTCAAATTTATTGACATTTTTGTAAAAAAAAATAAAAATGGCTGACACCGGTCTTAAAACATATTTGAATAATTTTCAAAAAGCAACAGGATTTTGGAGGAAAAATTTTGCATGATTTTGAACACCCAATTTTTTATTTTTTTTTCATTTCGAAATATCAACACAGCATAATATTTTTTATGTTTGACGTTTTGTTAGAAAAGTTAGTCTCACTATGGTTGGTTATTACTTTATTAGTTTATAGGCTATAGCAAGCAATTATGGTGCAAAAGTGTCCTCTTTTGACAAAATTTAAAATCATTACGCATGCATATCATGCATATAGTCTTGATTTTTCAGAAATACTGCCCACATTCAAAACCTAAACACATTTCAATATTTTTTTCAATAATTTGAATACCATTTTTTAAAGTGTACACTTCAGTCACACTTTATATACTTTTAAATACTTAAAATCAAAATGGAAGAAGAAAAAAACTATTAAAAAAAATTTACCGAAGTTTCATCTTTGGGGAAGAGTGGGGTTTCGGGAAGCTTCTAAATAATTTAAAAACACTTTTTAATGAAAAGTAAAAATGTTCACAGTATAAAACATTCTTGTTTGAAAACAATAATTCTCCTATCAAAATTGTTCTTGTGGATAAAAAATATTTTTGCTTAGGTAAAAATTTTAGAAAAATATATTTTTCATTAAAAAAGTTTATTCCTGAATAGGTTTGCGGAGATCTGCGGTGAACCCATATAATATGAGGTATCCAGGTCAGAGGCTGCAGTTCCAGGCCTAGGTAGGTAAGTAGGTAGGTAGGTAGGTAGGTAGGTAGGTAGGTAGGTAGGTAGGTAGGTATTAGGTAGATAGATAGGTAAGTAGTCAGGTAGGTAGGTAGGTAGGTAGGTAGGGTAGGTAGGTAGGTAGGTAGGTAGGTAGGTAGGTAGGTAGGTAGGTAGGTAGGTAGGTAGGTAGGTAGGTAGGTAGGTAGGTAGGTAGATAGGTAGGTAGGTATGTAGGTATGTAGGTAGGTAGGTAGGTAGGTAGTTAGATAGGAAGGAAGGTTGGTAGGTAGGTAGGTAGGTAGGTCGGTATTAGGTAGATAGATAGGTAAGTTGTCAGTTAGGTAGGTAGGTAGGCAGGTAGGTATTAGGTAGATAGATAGGTAGGTTGGTAGGTAGGTAGGTAGTTAGGTAGGTAGGTAGGTAGGTAGGTAGGTAAGAAAGTAGGTAGGTAGGTAGAGAGTTAGGAAAGTAGGTAGGTAGGTAGGTAGGTAGGTAGGGTATATAGAAGTAAGTACCTAGGAGTAGGGTAGCCTGACGACTGTTCTATTGAACTGATATCTCTAAACCAAATCATTGAAAAGGATTTTCCTTATCCTATCTTATCTTATCCTATCTTATCTTATCCTATCTTATCTTATCTTTATCTGAATTTGTTTCTTAATTTATTTCAGTCTGGTGCTCTTTTTTTAGAATTTTAAAAAGTGCAGAAACTATGTTTAATTTTCTAAAAAGATCATGAATTGGTCATTCCTTATTCCCATGAGTGGGGTCCCGGTCATGTTGTGTTGGAAGTTGTAGGGCAGTGAGCCGGTCAGGTTAGACAGAACAGCACTTGATACTCCTAAGCAAAAATCAAATTAATCAATCAATTGTGAAATCAATCAATTCATTAATTAGGTAGCGAATCAATCAACTAACTAAATGCTCACTGTAAACTCAGGTTTATTTGAAGTACTTGACGAAAGCTAGGACAAGTTTTACAATCTACATGCAGACGGCTAAAATGGGACGGTACGCCAAATGAATCATCTTCTTCTTGTTAGGGCTGGGCTTGCTCGATCCTCATTAGTACTTTTTCCAATCGTTCCATCCCTGTTTCGTTCCATTCCGTTCTCTATGTTCTTAGTCAAGAATGGCTAACTGCAGTTCATTAATGGCGGATATTTTGGAACGATGGCATCGATCTTGATAATTCTGTTTGTTCCAGTAAAAGAACTTTTGTTCCCCGGGAATGGCGCCCAGCCCTACTTAATGTGTATTATTGTGGAAGTTCTGCTATACCTGGAAGAGTTGCATGTCTTGATGGGAGTGGAGTATAGACCGAGGCAGGTCCTACCGTAGAAATAGGATGTTTCGCCACCTGCAGGGCGGATATCACAACCGCCTGGGAACCATGATACCTTGAAAAAAAGATATAAAATATAAGAATCTAATTCCACATTAGATAACAACTTACTTTTTGAAAAGATCTCTGATGTGAGATTCCTCAACAGTTGGGAACATCGCTGCTATCCTTCCCACTGCCTAGTTAGTAATTTCTCCGCTAGGGTTATGTTATTCAATGCAGGTTCAATATTTTGTCACTAGAGGACTCTATGGTGGTTAGTGAAAGCACTGCTATGTGAAAAAGAAAGCCCGGAACTGTCTAACAAATGCAGTATGAAAATATATTTTAAAAGTATTAAAGAAAATTTGTTAAACAATTCTAAATTTTTGTGCACTCATTCTAGCTGATTGGTTTTTCAACGGCCAATCAGAGAGAAGTAAATTGTCTTGTAATTAAAATAGTTATCTCTGCAAGGGCATATACAGGGGGGGGGGCAAGGGGGCAGTGCCCCTACATAGACCTGTAAAGGGGGGGGGGACGTCACACATTTAAAATCTTAAACTAAAGTGTGAAGAGTATTAAAAAAGTCAATCTGCTGGGTTTTTTTTGCTAGTTTTGTTTGAAGGAGAGATGAAGCAGTACTTGTAAGGTAATTGGACTGTATGTGTACCTTAAAAGTATCTAAGAAGCCAAATGTTTTGAATTTACGGTTCAAATGATGCCCCCCCCTAGGGGAGGGGGGGCAATAATTTTGTCTTGCGCTTCGAGCATATTTTGCCCCCCCCCCCTATATTTTATTTCTGTAGACGCCCTTGTATCTCTGATTGACTATTGAGGTTGTTAATTTCATTCGGACTCCACCACCGATTGTTGTTAGTGATTTTTAAAATAGCGGTTAGTGTTAGTTACAAAAATTGCATAACTTACAAACCCAAATACCTTTTGTTCTTTATATCATCATTCTCAATCAGAGCCTATAGTATCATTACATTTAATTTGTTAATGTTACATATTGAATTAAGAATGAAAGATTGAAAATTCTTGGTGGATAAAACCTCTCTATACACATATTTAGAAATACTTCTCACATTGCAGTGAAAGGTTTAATGAATGTATAATTTTCCCATTAGGGTTTCTTGATACATTTTTTCACCAGAAGCGGGTAGAAATTGTACTAAATATCACCATTTACCATTCAAACATGTTTATATATCTACCTGCTCCATGTTTATATATCTACCTGCTCCATGTTTATATATCTACCTGCTCCATGTTTATATATCTACCTGCTCAATGTTCGTAAATGTGTTCTCCATGTCCTGAAGTTCAGCAAGAATATGAGAATCCCTAAAAATAAAATCTAAATTAAAAAACTTTAAAAGCATAAAGAGTTGATTCTGATTCTGATTCTAATGGCAAAGTGATCTAAATTGTATATGTCCCTTTAAACTAGACACATATTGTATATAGTCCCTTTAATCTAGAACTAAATTGTATATTATCCCTTTAATTTAGATCTAAATTATATATTTTCCCTTTAAACTAGAACTAAATTGTATTTTTTTCCTTTAAACTAGAACTAAATTGTATATTTGTCCCTTTTTAACTAGAACTAAATTGTATATTGTCCCTTTAAACTAGATCTAAATTGTATATTGTCCCTTTAAACTAGAACTAAATTGTATTTTGTCCCTTTATAGTTGTCCTGACCTGCGTAGAGATCTCTGACTAAGAGGAGACTCTACTCCTCCTCCAGATTCTTCCAGCTGAAGCTGCTGGAGCCGACCCAGGGGTTGCGGGGATACCATTCCTACATTTAATGAATTTAGCAATAATCTTTTAATCAATTATATTCTATCATCATTTAATGTATTAATCAATTATAGTCGATTAATTATTTAATGTATCAATCAATTATAGTCTATTAATCATTTCATGTATTAATCAATTATAGTCGATTAATCATTTAATCTACAAATCAATTACTAAATTTAACAATAAATATTTAAATCAATTATAGTTGATTAATCATTTAATCTATTAATCAATTTATGAATTTAACAATAAATCTTTAAATCAATTATAGTCGATTAATCATTTAATCGATTTATCAACTTATCAATTTATCAAGTAATCAATAAATCAATTAACTAACTAATTAGAAATCAATCTTGATTAAGCAATTAAGCAGTTTATTAATTAATTGACCAATTAATTAATTGAAAAATAAAAAATCAAATCATTACATTTAGTGTTTAAAAAAATAATATATTACCATGATAGTAGCCAGGAACACTGAAACCCAAATTTATTATTGAAAATAAAATGGAGATTAATAATAGCTAATACTATCAATAATACTGGTATTGAATATTATCAAGATACAAGTAAAGACATAGATTAAAAACTGTAACATTGCATTTTTTCATTTGATTTTGTAATCAAAATATACAATAATAGTGATAAAATAATAAATCCTCTCCTCTGATTGGCTGCTTGCTGTGGAGTACCGGCCCGACCCCCCGGGCTCCCTGCTCTAGCTCTGTACTCCTGTACAGTTAGTGTATAATGTACTAAAACGGGGGGATTTCGGGGATTTGAAATATTTTGTGTTAAAAAAATATGTGAATCAAAATTATTACTAAAAGCAATTTTTTGCTCTTTAAAACTGTAAAAGATCGAGTGGTTTTAACAAAAGAGACTATTTACTTGTAAAGATATATGCTCCATCCTAACAGTATCCGCCACACTTCCGCCTCCAGACTCCGCCGTGGGCCGCTGATTCTCTTTACTGTCCTACACACATAAATCTCACTAGTAGGGGAGCATTCATTTGGTGTACACTGTACCGCCCCTTTGTGTCATCTACAATTTGTATGTACAATTTAAAAATTTCTCTAGGAGCCTAAAAGCTGGTTGAGTACTTCAAATGAACGAAGTTTACTGTTAACATTGCTATATATTCTATCACTGTGTAGTAAAATGTATTATTGTAAATAAGTAAAGCGCAGTTATGCAGTACAGTACAGCACATCAGAGTAGATACTATACATAGTAAAATATAGTATAGTCACACTACTTTATTATACTTTAGTTATTGTACAGTACTGCGTTGAAATGTACCAAAATGTACTGTACTGGACACATATATTGTACTGTAAAGTATTGTGCTTTGTTTTGTACAGCACTGTGCAGTACTGTACAGTAGAAGTTTACCTTAGTTGTAGGTTTCCCAATCTGTTGATATTTCTCCCGGGGATCCTCCCAACTCGTCGTCTTTGTGTAATGGTTTATGTAATAACTGAAACATAGTGGTTTATGTAATAACTGAAATATAGTGGTTTATGTAATAACTGAAATATAGTGGTTTATGTAATATCTGAAATATAGTGGTTTATGTAATAACTGAAATATAGTGGTTTTATGTAATAACCGAAATACAGTGGTTTATATAATAATTGAAATATAACGGTTTATGTAATAACTGAAATATAGTGGTTTATGTAATAACTACAATATAGTGGTTTCTATAACAACAAAAATAATTATGATTACCATTATCATAATAAAATTATCAATAATCATACAGTAAAACGATTAATTGCATGTACCATTATGAAATTGCAACAGATATATACAATAATATTCATTGAGATCATTGGAAATAAAAAAGCCTTAGGAAAGAAAACATTAAATATGAGACCCCAAATTGAGATTTAAACGGAAGAGTAGAAGTCAAACAGGTGTAAAACATAAAATAATGAATCCAATGAATTTGAAGGGACTCTATGTAATTTTAAGTTGTCTTCCAGTCATAGTTCTGAGATGCTTGTTGTTGTCAATTTCATAACGGTAACCTTTAAACCAATGAAGAAGATATCGGAGTTTATCTATCTCAAAAGTGTTGATTTCAGTTTAAATAAAAAAACATCCTCTCTGAATTGGGATTGGGAATCACTTCTTTTAATTATATAGGTCGGTCGTATTTATTCCCCATTAAACTATTCCTTCAACAATAAAATATATAGCTTGGTCGTATTTATTCCCCATTAAACTATTCCTTCAACTATAAAATTCTTTGTTTCTTTGTCAAACCATTAATTTAAAGACAACATTCAAGGCAGTATATAAGAAAACTTGGGATCGTCATAATTTAAGATGTTCAGGTCGTCTTTGTAGTCTCATCCTTTGTGGGTAACCCAGAATGTGAAATTGAAAAAATCTTACTATCTAGAAGTTCGACTGTCATACTTCATATCCCATCCAGGGGGAAGGGGCGTTGAAGTCGCACTCATATCTAAATAATAATAATAATAATAATAATAATAATAATAATAATTATAATAATAATAATAATAATAATAACAGTTATAATGTAGAGGAACTAGAATATCGTCTTTGCTCTGAGCCTAGTCCAACCAAATATCATAGTTTTTTAACATTATTTTAGGATAAAATATATATTCATTCCGTTTTTTTACTGTTGCTACATTTTGGTGACCACAACGTGATTAAATCATTCTCTCACTGAAGTATCTGAAATTTGTTTCGACCGTGTCGCTGTGCTTTCTACGCCCAAGTACCAATGGTAGGTTTTCCGGTGATTTGAGACTTTTCTTTCAGTACCACTGCTGCCTGAAGACAGTGCCGCCGTGAGTCCTGAACCTGTCCCTCTGACAACTGTCTGTCAAGCCTCCAACGTTCTGGACGTCTTAACCGCAGGCAAGGAGAATTGAATACAAGGAGGGGGCAATAGGGTGATCCGTACACTTTGCTGTGACATATTTGTACTGCTGGAGAACTAGTTTTTTCGTAACAACAATAATAAAGGCAGCCGATCTAATGTAAACAAACATGAATTAGTATATGGTGAATCTTCATCTAACGCCAGAGATGCACCAAATGTCTGTTTATCATTTGTGTTATTGTTTACAATCTTTATTATTGTTGTTACGCAAAAACTAGTTCTCCAGCAATCCAAAAACGTCACAGCAAAGTGTACGGAAACCCTATTGCCCCCTCCTTGTATTCGATTCTCCTTGACGCAGGAATGGTTTCTCCAGGCTGAGGCCCAGTTTGAGAATAAGAGAATAACCACATCCTGAACCAAGTTTAGGTCTTGGATCGGTATCCTTTGCCTAATGTTGCAGATTTTACAGCTCGTCTCCATGGTTGCAAGATTTGCACGAAGTTAGACTAAAGGTATTATCAAGTTATGATATCACCTGGAGATGTTGCCAAGATTGCGGTTATAACTCCCTTTGGTCTGTTCTAGTGGCTAAGTATGCCCTTTGGTTTATATATTACTGGTTGTCCATTCCAACGCAAGATGGATATGATCCTGGGTGACCTTCCCTACTTCTTTGTCTATGTTGATGACATTCTGATAGCCAGTCCCACCTGCTCCATGTTCGTGCAGTTCTAGAATGGCTCAGTCTACACAGCCTGAGTTTAACCCAGAGAAGTGTGTGTTTGCTGCTCCCAAGGTTGAGTGTCTTGGGATACATGTCTCCAGCTCAGGGTGCGTACCTTTAACTAAGCAAACTGAGATCATCTCTAATTTCCCTAGTCCCATGGACAAGAAGCGTCTCCAACGATTCCTGGGTACTCTAAACTTCTATAGTTGTTTCATCAGAGGAGCTGCGTGAATTCTGTTTCCTCTAACAGAAGCTTTGAAGGGTAAATCATCAGTTCTCACCTGGAATCTGGAAATGAATAAGTCTTTCTCTGGCACCAAAACAGTTCTCTCCAAGGTTCCCTCTCTTGTACATCCTGATCCTTCTGCATGAATATCTGTCTCCATCAATGCCTCTGGATCCCACATCAGAGCAGTGTTATAACAAGATGTTGCCGGCTCCTGGGCTCCCTTAGCATTCTACTCCAAGAAGCTGTCCACATCAAAATCTGAATACTCCACCTTTGATCGAGAATTGTTCACTGCCTACTTTGCCCTCCGCCATTTTCGGTTCTTGCTTAAAGGTAATACTTTCATACTGTTTACAGACCACAAGCCTCTAACCCTTGCATTGTTTAGAACCTCTCCCATTGGTCCCCAATGCAGCAGAGAAGATTACCGTTCCTGCCTGAGTTTAACTGTAAAATCCTTCATCTGTCAGGCTCTGAAAATGTTATAGCTGATGCTTTGCCCCGTCCTAACTCTGAGCATGATCTTCAACCTCTGTCTATCTCAGATCCAATCCGTCCTGACTCCGAGAACAATTTTCAACCTAACTCTATCCCTGTCATGTCTACGCTTTCTCCACCACCTGTTCCCAGAATATCTTTCACTGAAATGGCAAGACTTTAGCAGATATGTCCTAAGGTTGAAGCTCTCCGCCTTTACTCCACCTTAAACATTGTTTCTGTACCTGTTTCCAGTTCCATTCTCCTCTGTGACGAATCAACAGGAGTTCTACGTCCTCTGCTGCCAGAGTTAGTTTGGAGAAAAGTTATTGATAATATTCACAAGATTTCTCATCTTGGAAAAAGAGCTTCTAGAAGGTTAGTTTCAAGGACTTTTGTGTGGGAGTTCTTGTCCAAGGATGTTAACCTCTGGTCAAAGTCAAGTTTAGATTGCCAGCAGAATAAGATCCAGGTTCATGTCAAAGCTCCAATTCTTCAGATTCCCATATCCCATATCAACCTTGATCTTGTAGGACCTCTTCCAAAATCTCAAGGTTTTTCCTATTTATTTACAATAATCGATAGAGCCAGCTGTTGGCCTGATGGAGTACCAATTCTACAAACCACAACAGAAGAATGTGCCCAAATTCTGAGTTCTCTGCAGTTATCACCAGCAACAGAGGTGCTCAATTTGGTCTTCCCTGTGCAAGTTTTTGGGAATTGTACATTCACCAACAACATCTTTCCATCCTCAATCCAATGGCCTCGTGGAAAGATTTCACAGACACCTCAAGGCATCCTTGCAAGCTAGATTAGCTGAAACTGATTGGTATGCTCACCTGCCTTTGGTTTTACTAGGTTTGAGAAATGTTCCCAGAGAAGGTTCTTCAGCTTCCGCCTTTGAAGCTTTGTTTGGTGCTCCTTTGGTCTTTTCTGGTGAGTTCCTAGATAGTCCTGAGCTCCCTGCAGAAAAATATCTCCTACAAGTTCAGCAGGTTCTCAAGAACAATCCTGTTTCCCCACCTCATCATAAGTCCTCTGCTGTTGTTCCAAGTTCGACAGTTCCATCTCCTCTCCTCTCTGCAGCTTATGTGTTTATCTGAGAAGACTCGTCCAAACCTCCACTGTCTCCGCTGTACCGAGGTCCTTCCAAAATACTGTCCCAAATCCCCAAGTATTTTGTTCCAGATTGCTTCCTAACAAGACTCTGTCCCGAAGGACTGTTTGAAACCTGTCTTTTCGGAGACGCCAGTAATCCCTCAACTTCATCCTTTAGCTCTAAAACCTCTGGCTCAGAAACCTCCGAAAGGTAATAAACTAAGTAAATATGTTTGAATGTCTCCTAAATTTGTTTTGGAACAAGAAAAAATCCAAGACGATCTGTAAGAGATAAGCCTTGACCTCTTCAACTTATCTTGTAGTTTGCTGCTGGGGGGACCCCTGTAGAGGAACCAGAATATCGTCTTTGCTCTGAGCCTAGTCCAAACCAAATATACAAAGTTTTTACCTCCTCATAATAATCATGAAGCTCCAACTGTTCCATTCCTTTCAACACTAATAATCAATGTTATTTCATTTTCAACCGTTTAGATAACCCCTTTTTAAGGGTCACTATTTTAAAACAAATTTGATTTTATTATTCAATAAAGTTAAGGAATATCCCTTTTGTTCTTTTATTTGTGTCAACAAAATGAGTTTTTGTCACACATTCTGATTTTCTAATCCCTATATCTTTGCAACCCAATGTCGTAGAATATAGATATTTCAAGCTATGAATTCTTTTAGATCCAATAGTTTAAGTTTTAGACGTAAAAGGTTTACTCCATCAGGTTGCACGGATATAGGGATTAGAAAATGTGGAAGATTCAATTCCTTTAAAAACACTGAAAACTAGACAGAAGGGGAAGGTAAATTTATGCGACATCACTGGTGCGACCTTCTGACATTTTAGCTCGACTCTTATAGTTTTGATTTATTCTGTTACAGACGTTACAACTTAAAGAAAAGAAATTCAAAACATTTTTTCTCTTATTCGTAACTCTTCAATAAGAGGAGTTATAATTTGAAACCTTTCAGATTTCAATCTTGCGTGCAATTTATTTTAATTTGGCATGAATACCTATTTTTCTAAAATAAAAATTACATCTAACTATATTCATCTATTTGATCCTAATCAATTATTGTCAAAATAAACCAAAGATAACGTACTTTATTTCTTTCGTCTTTTTTATTCCAACTGCGTTGTATCTCCTTTATCACATATCCTGTATCCTATATTCTGTATCCTGTATCCTATATTCTGTATTCTGTATCATATATTCTATCTCCTGTATCCTGTGTAGTGTACACAGAAAAGGGCGCAACTGACGGAGAGAATTAAAAAATCGATATACAGCTTTCAGCTGATCTCATTCTCATCTTAACTATACACAGCTAGATAGATAGATAGATAAAAAGATAAATATACAAATATATATAAAGATAGAGATACAGATGAATATATAGATAGATAGATAGATAGATAAATAGATAAATATACAAATATATATAAAGATAGAGATACAGATATATATATAGATAGATAGATAGATAGATAAGTAAACAGATAAATAGATAAATATATTAACAAATATATGTAAAGATAGAGATACAGATAAATATATAGATAGATATACAGATAGATATACAGATAGAAAAAATGATAGGGATACAGATACATATAAAGATAGAGAAACATATAAATATAAAGATAGATATCAAGATAGAAAAAAAGATATAGATACAGATAAATATATATATAGATATACAGATAGAAAAATAGATAGAGATACAGATAGATAAATAGATAGATATACGTAACGATAGATGAAATATATACAGTGATATCCAGAAAACTGTGGAATAGGAAAACGACATTATACAGTTAAACCCTAAATAATCCATACATCGAAAAAATTCATCAAATTTCGTATTCTTCACTTTCTGATAATGGAATGTTGCAGATATTTAGTTTTTTAATTAAATGATTAAAAACTGTTCCTGCATATTCAGGACTATATATTTATTTTTGCAAACACTGAGATTTACGTAAAAAAAGTATAAAAACCATTAAAAAATTGTCAAGACGACATTTGATGCATTCTTTCGATGTATGGCTCATTTAGGGTTTAACTGTAGCAATACTAAGAGAGAGATTAGTATATATTTTAGGGTTAGGTTAGGCTTAGACACGCGCTGGGCCGCGCCCTGCGGCTAGAACAGACTAGGGGAACGAGCGCCGCGACTAGAACTGGCTCTCTCTCTGTCTTATAATTCATTGCGGCATTCACGAGTAACACAGATTGACCACTGCCCTATTTAAAATCTTTAACCTAAGCCTAAAAGTCGTCTTCATTTTCTAATTATTACTGCTTAAATCTGAAGTAATAGATGTTTGATAAATGATATTTGCTAGGATATTAGATAATTAAATTTAATATCAAGGAAAGCATCACTTTGATAAGCTATTGATATGAAAGTTCACTGCAAACTAGAAAGATGGAGCAGGTAAAATTTTAGCGACATTTCTGGTACGTTTTTGTGACCTTGTATCTCCTCTCGTTTAAATTCAACGTACAGGGTGTCCCAAAAAACATGGGAATTCAGTGACGAATTCGATATCGTCTTTGTAATGAATTAGCATTGTAATACCTAATTTCAAAAGCAATAATATTATTATGTCTGCTAGAGTTTATTTTATGAAAACGGTAAAAGACTGTAAAGATGTGTCTATAATGTCTCCGCACAATGAACAGTGAAGACGGACAAGTTTACTCTGTTTGTATACTGCAATTTTCTTGTTTTACTAAGTACAACCGTATGCAGTCAAAACATAAACAAACAAATTGTAAACATAGCAGACGAAACTCTTACAGATTACAGCTTTCTCATTAGGTATCTCTATACTAAATCAAAGAATTATTTAAAAAGACGATATCGAATTCATCACTGAATTCCCATGTTTTTTGGGACACCCTGTACGTGACAAGTAAGTATGAGAAAACCCAATTTATTTGGTTACACATTAAAAATTAAAAAAAAAAATTTCTTATTATTATTATTATTAGTTATGGTTGTAATGTAGCAAGTTATGGTACTCCTAAGCTTGGGTTGTTATTACCTAAAACCCTAAAACCCTCTTTAGCAAGTAAGAAATACAGTTTTCTCTTAAACTCTTACTGATAGAATGTAAGATAAATATCGAGAGAAGTTACTATGTCGCAAAGTTAAACCAGTTAATTCACATGTAATAAATGATTTCCTTAATATCTAATATAATTTTCTATGAAGGCAATCACACCAAAACAGCCGAATAAATGTCGTCTTCCGTAAAATTTATCCTAATATGCTAATAGAGCTAATACCGACTTATTTCAGAACAATTAAAATGCACAGCAGACTTTTATACTTTACTTGATACTTTACTTGGATAAACGTAAACATGAAAACAAAGAAAAGCTTCTATTCGATTACTTGTACACTTGTAATTCGAAAGAAGCTTGAGAACCATCAAAACTGAAATAAAAAAGTCGTCTTCATTTTATTGATATAATCGCCTACCACTATTTAATTTACGTTTATTTTCTTTTGAAGGGACTGACAACGCAATTTCAAATGACCCTCCATTTAAAGAGTACATACCCGATTCACAATGAAACATTTGTATAAGCAAAAAGATGGAGTAGTCCTTGTTTTTCTATCTGTAAATTGATAATTTTTTCAAGGAGAAATCTTTCCATCAAAATTCTGTGAATAATTGTACAGTGTTAACTTTCATTCCAGTTAAGTGTAGAGTGTAGAGTGCATGTAGAGTGTAGAGTGTAGAGTGTAGAGTGTAGAGTGTAGAGTGTAGAGTGTAGAGTGTAGAGTGTAGAGTGTAGAGTGTAGAGTGTAGAGTGTAGAGTGTAGAGTGTAGAGTGTAGAGTGTTGTAAGTCTTGAACAATGAATGTTTTTAAATATTTATAAAACATTTTATTCACAGTTTAAGAAAACAACAACATAAACAGTCTAATGTTAAGTTTTACAAAGCTTTAATTAATTGTACAATTTGCTGACACCATTCAATAAAAAGAATATTGCACCAGTCATTTGATTCCGAAATATGAATGAAAATAAATTTATAAATGCTCAAATCAGCATTTGAATTTTTAACCAGAAACCTAATTATACACAATTTTATTTATCTTTCAAGCACTAGAACTCATATTATCGTTGCGGTTTTACATATGTTGACAGTTTCCAAATATAAAAGCATAAGATATTACAAATAAGCAATCACAATTTACTATGCAGTTTGGACCTACCCAACCAGGGTTGGTTGTATTGAGTGGTTTGCCCGAAGCTAATTAACGATACTGAATATAATTGGTTACACATATCAAGATATTTTTTAGGATAGCTAAGGAGTTGATTGGAAGGAAGGAGATTGTCAGGTGATCTGTGGCAGGGTGAGATCAGAGGGATTTTTATGTAGAGATAAATTAAAATACAGAGTGTTAATGATGGTAGATACAGAAACAGAAATAAGCTAATAAAGTTTCAGATATTTTAGTTTTTTTTATATAAAATTTATTCACACGATATACATCTAGGTTTTTCGTATTTAAACCTCTCATAATTCTCAAGATAAATATTGATTACTCTTTGTTTAAATATTTTTTTGCAGATTTAGTTTCTTTAAGGTCAATTTTAATTGCATTCCACAATTTAGGAAACATTGCGGACGGAAAGCTTTCTAAATTTTTGTTTAAAACCTGTTCTTATTTATATGATTTTGTTCTATTCGGTTCAGCTAAAGACTTAAACATATTTTGGAAGGGAGAGGGAAGGTTATTATTAAAGTATCCATGCATAAATGTCAGAACACAAAGTTTGTATGTATCATCAAGATTAAGAACTTTTAGTTTTGAATGTGCCTAGAAAGTACTATTATTAACCGCTCTGATTGCCTTTTTTTTGCAAAGATCTGATTTTTTGCAGTTTAGAGTTTTTAACCCCTCCCCAAGTAACAATTTCATATTCAATATGAGGTCTTACAAGACAGTTATAAACAAGTAGACGAATGTTTAATGGTAAGATATTCTAAATTTGAGACAAAGCAAAAATTGAGCTAGAAATTTTATTCGAGATATGTTCAATTAGAAAATCCCAGTTTAAAAATTCGTAAAGTTAAAGTCCAACAAAATTGAAATATTTGTTCACACAGTCATTACCAATCCTTTCAAGTATCTCATTTCCTATTGAAATATTACAACTTTTGGGGTCAAAGTGCATATTTCTATTTCTAAATACAATATACTTTGTTTTGGAGACATTTAGTGACAAACGATTTGCTTGAAACCGTTTTGCGGCTTTTTTTAGCTCAGTGTTTGCATCAAGTATTAGGCTTGCAATGTCAGGAGATGACTTTAAAAAAACTTGTATCATCTGCAATGAGGCTGGTAAAAAAGATTGCTAGGGGCAAATCGTTTATATAAAGAAGAAACAGCAGGGGCTCTAGAACACTTCCTTGAGGAACACCACAAGTTATAATTTTTTCTGTCGAAAAAACTCCATTTATACACACATATTGAGTTTTATTAACAAGATAATCTTTAAACCAGGTGTTAGCCACTTTTTTGAAACAACAATGAATTATTTTATTTAAAAGTATGTCTAAATCACAAGCTTTCTTTAAGTCTAGGAATATTCCAAGAGTAAATTCTGGTTTAGATTTATTGAGGTTTTCATAGATTTTATTCATTAAGTCCAAAAGTGGTTGCTTTGTGTTATGTTTAGGTCTAAATCAATATTGGTTTGGTTTGGTTAAATAATGATTTTTAGCTAGATTAAAACTTAAAGAAAACTTGTCTTTGCAATATGTTTTGAAATGTTCGAAGAACAGATACCAAATATAGAAAAAATAAATTCATTTCACTACTCATATTGCTATTTTTATCAAATTTATATTAAAAATATCAGCATTTGGTCGCGAGTGTAGAGTGTAGAGTGTAGAGTGTAGAGTGTAAAAAGTAGAGTGTAAAGTGTAGAGTGTAAAGTTTAGAGTGTAGAGTGTAGAGTGTAGAGTGTAGAGTGTAGAGTGTAAAGTGTAGAGTGTAAAGTGTAGAGTGTAAAGTTTAGAGTGTAGAGTGTAGAGTTTAGAGTGTAGAGTTTAGAGTGTAGAGTGTAGAGTGTAGAGTGTAATATATATTTTTTGGAATGCAATGCATTTTGTGCAATGTTTCTAATGCTAAAGATGTTTTGTTATTTAAAGAATCAGTTTTGCTGAATAGTGACGGTTTAAAATTCTGGAAATTCATCAACCTTAGTTCAGTAAATTCTGAACCTTTGAAACAGTAAAATATAAATTTTTTTTCACATTATACTAGATAGAAGGTCAAAAATATATGCGACATTTCTGACACGGCTTTGTGACCTCTTAGCTGCTCTAGTTTTGATTGGGCATAATTTAAGTACATTGATAACCAGAAAACAATGAAATGGAAAGACGACATATAGCAATACTTAAGCGTTTTGATGTTGTTGAAAAGGAAATATTGTTACTAGTAACTTAGCAAAGCAAAATTTAAGTAAAATATGTCTTTTTACACTGTACAATTGCTATGTCTAATGTTTATTGAGTTTAAAAGTCGTCTTCCCATTTCAGAATTTTCTGGTTATCACTGGAGTGCAAATATATTCCCAAAACATATTTGTTTTTCTCAAAAACGATTATTTTTAAAAAGTGTTTTATGAAAAATCGTTTGTTCAGTTAAAAAACTATCTTTTTTTAAAATCTTTTAGAGAATTCGTTCGTTCAGTAAAAAAGGTTTCATAAGTTTTTTTTTCGTTTCTTTATGATAAACAATAGTTTTTTCATTGCTCTGAGCGATCCAAGTCGTTTATTTGTCGTTTTTTTGTCGTTTTTTTTTTCTGAACAGCTGCACCATCGTTCACTAAAAATTTGGTTAGTTCACAAAAACGTTGCCTATCTCTACTGCAGGAATTAGTAAAGTAGATTGAAGTGAAGGATTCACAACTGCTGTTATGTATTAAACTGTGCTAAGATTAAGAGGGGGAGGGGGGATAATTTTAAAACAAGGAAACGAAACATTTTATGGTAGGGGAGGGGATTGTGAAAACCACCCAATCAGATATTTTCATTTAAAAACCATTAAAAAAATTTCAATTTTTACGAAAAATGACAGCAATTTTTTTTAATAATTTCTTTAATTATAATTTTTTCAGAAAATTCTGAAAATGTCTCAGAATTTCGACGAGGTGACCGCTGGGTCCCCAGTAGCTCAGTTCTATGAGAACCGTGTTATCTTTATAACAGGATCCACAGGCTTTATGGGAAAGGTGAGAAAAATTGGTTATTTCACAGGTTTCACAGGTTTATGGGTTATCAGACTTGTTATTCATATTATATTAGTTTTATGGAAAAAAAGTGAGCTTTGCTATTCCATGACTAACTAAAAAGATGTGAAAATAGAATATTTTTTAATAAGTTCTAGTGGTTGTATGGGAAAGAAATGCGAGTTAGAACTTTTAAGTTGTGAATTTTAAGATCAAACATTGATCTCCATCTACGGATTAATTTAATTCCTTTTGTATATCTCGTGGTGTTCATGTCCTGCAAAGATGAATACTAAAAAGTTTCCATTGTGGATATCTAGATTCACGTAAAAGTTTTTACAGGTTATAGACAATTTATGACGCAAAAAACGATTTTTCATACCAAATCTTAAAACTTTGGACATCAATGCTTGATTGCCTCTTTTTATTAATCTGCAGATTAACTTAATATTACATTAATATCCAGGAAAATGTATGAAATGCAACCAATCAGAGTGTTGATAGCTTAAACCGAACAGCCAATCAGAAGCCGTGAAATTTTGCACTCAATCAATGAGAGAATTCTCATCGGAATCCGGCAGGGATATCCAAAAGAAAATCAAAAAAAAATCATAAGTGTTCACATTAGATATCGACATTTAGAAATCGGGATTAAGGGAATCCAACAATAGGGTTTTCAGCTCAGATACAGCAGCTAAGCAAGCCTTACAAGGAGACAAATAAAAAGAGTGTTATAAGAAAAAAAGATGTGCTTTATGATATTACATATTGGTTTAACTTATTGAATTGGAATTATATTTTCGAAAATAATTTTTTATTGTTGTTTTACAAATATTTGCTATAGAATGCAAAAATTGAGTTTTTTTTCGATTTTTGTTGCAACATTTTCTATTTTTTGGAATTTTTTTTAGGTTTTGGTTGAGAAGTTGCTACGCTCCACTAGTGTAAAGAAAATATATCTCCTCATCAGACAGAAGAAGGGCGTGGCAACCCAGGCCCGCCTTCAGGATCTTCTCTCATCTAAGCTGTTTGACAGGTAAACTCCCTGCAACCATCCCCTGCACCTATCCCAACTGTAAACTATAGTCAGAAGGAGAGGATCAAATTCAATTGTTATTACTGGTGAGACTTTGTGACCTCGTTGCTTCTCTAGTTTTGATTTAAAGCACAAGTAAGCAAGTGGCAAATCTATTCGGTTTGATATTAGCAATTTAAACCATGTTTATAGCTATTCCATAAAAAGAGTTATGATAAAAAAGATTTCAATCTTCCATGCAGTTTATTTTAGTTAAAGTCAAGGTTGTAATGCAAGGAAAGTTAATTGCAGTTGCGTACACTCTGCGTACATATTGAAACCAGTTCTCTCTAAGCGGAATTTGTAAACAAGAACAGATGCATAAGTGTTCGTTTAGTATCCGAAGAGGTTAAAAGCATTAAATTTTGATAGTTTTGATAATTCACATAATAGTTTCCTATGTCCGTCTTGTGTTTAAATTACCGCCCAGAGACAGTACACTGCAGTACAAAAGATGCGTACACCTCTGAAATAACTTTCCTTGCATTATAACCTTAATTTGATTTTATTGAATGTATCCAATAAACGTCAAAACGGCTAAACTCACATGACCCCAGAGTTTAGAAATATAGCATCAAGATGCTATTAAATTTTTTTGAAAAATCTGCGAAATTATCTTTTCCCTCGTTTCTCTCGCCCATATAAAAAAGATAAGTTCCACCTAATATTTATTAATTTTATGCTGTTTTAATAGTGCAAGCAACATAAACAAAATCAGTAGATTCATTAAAAAAAATTTAAAATGTCTATCTAAGAAATGTAAAGAAAAAAATAATTTCTCCGTCAAAAATTGACCTGGCGGATTTTCAGTACTACAGCTGGTTGGGCTAAAACCATGAATTTTCTACATGCGCCCCAAATTGTCACTTGTACACCAGAACGTCATCGGAAAATTGTCACTTGTACACCAGAACGTCATCGGAAAATTGTCACTTGTACACCAGAAAGTCATCGGAAAATTGTCACTTGTACACCAGAACGTCATCGGAAAAAGTTGAGGCATAGCTTAAATTCTAAAGAGGACTATGAATCAAACATTATCGTAAGTGGGATTTTCCTCATCTCTTGATACCCCTTTAAAGAGACTGTGCAATCGTAGTCAGGTAGGGGGGGGGGGTACATTAGCTGTGCCCCCCGCTGAAAAACCCCTTTTTTGAAAAAATACTGAAACCTTTTTTAACTATGTAAACTATTCGAGATCCTATACACACCATATTACAAGTGATAATAAATTATTTATGTAATTTTCTTAAGTGGACTCATCAGATAATCCCTCTTAATACTCAAGGGATGAGAAATAGAGATGGAAACCTTTTTAAAAGAACATCTATATTTTCATAGGATCGATACATATTGTTTCATAAATTATGATATCAAATACATATTTACACATTTACATTTACATATTTTGATTGTATTATTGTATTATGATATCAAATATATATTTACACTGAAGGCAGTATTGTTAAAAGCTTTATTAATGAAACTCTTTTATTTCAGGGCAAAAGTGAGATTTCAAAGTATTTTTATTTATACGATGTAATCATACTTAAATGGAATAAATGCGTAATTTCAAGTGACCCTCCATTTATTGAGTGGCATGTCCGATGTACCTTTGAAACCTTCATTTCTCCATCGTTTCTGAAGCAAGAAATGCATGATTCACTTTTGTTGAGAAACCACAAATAGTTAGTTTTCAAAATGGGAAACATGGATATTTAATGCAGTACTTGATCAGACGAAGCGTTGAAGGGTATTGCTGTGAATCATAATATATTTCATTTCTTTTCTTAATCTTTTAGTTTGAGTGAGTGCAATGCAATGCAATGTAAAATGTAGATAGCCTGACAATGAATGATTAGATTACAGACAATGTTGTGCTGAGTGTCCGAAATATGTATGTCTAGTGTCCGAACTATGTTTGTCTAGTGTCCGAACTATGTATGCCTAGTGTCCTGACTATGTTTTGCTTAGTGTACTGGCTATGTATGTTTAGTGTACGGACTACGCATGTTTAGTGTCCTAAATATATCGTGTTCAGTGTCCTGACTAGTGACTATGTATGTTTAGTGTCCTGACTAAGTTATGCTTAGTGTACGGACTATCTATGCTTAGAGTCCAGACAATGTATGTACGGACTATGTTTGTTTAGTGGACGGTCTATGTATGTCTACAGCAGGTACTATGTATGTTTAGATTACAGATTAGGTATGTACAAATTTCTGACTTAGAGTACGGACCATGTATGGCTAGACTACGGACTATTATGATTAGAGTACGGACAATGTTGTGGTTAGTGTACGAACTGTGTATTTTTAGTGTCCGAAATATGTATGTCTATTGTTTAGTGTCCGGACTATGTATGTTTAGTGTCCAGAAAATATTATGTTTAGTGTACGTTCTATGCATGTTTATTGTACGGACTATGCATATTCAGTGTACGGAATAGGTATGGTTTGTGTCTGGGCAATGTATGCTTAGTGTACGGATTATGTATGTTAAGTGTACGGACTATGTATGTTTAGTGTACGGACTACTAGAGCTGGAGAACTGAGTAAACTAGTTGCAGTTCATGGAGATATTACTCAACCCCGTCTTGGTCTTTCCACATATACATCTATCTATTCATCTATTTATCTATCTATCTATCTATCTATCTATCTATCTATCTATCTATCTATCTATCTATCTATCTATCTATCTATCTAGATTGTTGGTAGAGAATGTAAGCGTTGTGTTCCATAGTGCTGCCACTGTCAAATTTGACGAAGACTTGACAAAGGAATAATTTGATAAATTGTTTTCATTAATTATTGTTGATAAAGGGACTGTAAGCGTAATTTAAAGAGACTCTAAATGCAAAGATGGTAATGCCTGGTTCATAAAGGTACTCTTAAAACCTGTATCTGATCAATAATGTAGAAGTTAATCTTGTTTTTCTAGGTATAAAAGTGTTTAATTCATAAATGTTTTATTGTAGTGAAATGCACAATTCACTGTCGCAGGAAAACCACAATACAAAATAATTAGTTTTTAAAATTATAAACATGGATATTTAATTCATACTTGATCAGAAAAGCTTTAAAGGGTATCGTTGTGAATCGAGCATTGCCATTTTTCCATGGAGGGTCACTTAAAATTACGCTTACAGTCCCTTTAAGTGTGTAAATTCAAAGTACCAGTAGACTTGTTTACAGTGCCAATCAAGGGCAAAACGAAATGTTTTATTTAAAAGAATGATTAGTTTTTTCCACCAGATATATCTGCCAGCAAAAACATTAGCATATTTAAAATACTTTTGCTTTGCTTTGCCGCAAACTCTGATTTTCTAATCTCTATATTTTTACAACACAATGTCGTAGACAATAGACATATTGTATTTATCACTATTAACTCTTTTGGATCAAATAATCAATGGCAAAACGAAATATTTTATTTAAAAGAATGATCAGTATTTTCCATCAAATAGATCTTCCAGCAAAAAGATTGGCATACTTAAAATACTTATTCCGAAAATTTGAATTTTTTTGATCAAATTCGTGATAAATCCTATTAAAGGAATGGTTAATGAAACATTGATTTAAGTATAAAAGCAGAATTATATCATGTGAACGATAATAGAGATAAGTTCACAATATCGGAGAGGAAATGAGCCAGTTGCCACTAATTCTGATTTTCTAAACTCTTTTGAATCAAATCTATATATAAATTTGGCTTGTCTGTCTGTTTGTTTGTTTGTTTGAAACCAATAAACGTCAAAACGGCTGAACCGATCGGGCCCAAATTTTTTGTGGGTCATCACGTGACCACAGGGAGGGTTTATGAATGATAAAAATTTAAAAAAAATGTGTTTTGAAGGTTTTTAATTTTGTAAAAAAATTTAAATTCTTGAAAGTCAGCGAATTCTTTTTTAAAAATCCGCAAAATTTTTTTCTTCTTTGTTTTAAAATGTAAACAAAAAGAACATGTTCACAATTTAAATAAAAGATGGGCGCGAAGCGCCCTAAAAGCCTAGACAAAAGGGCGCGAAGCGCCTTGAATTTCTAGTAATCTAAATTTGAAATAGGGATTAGACAATTTTATTTTGTGGCAAAACTCAGTTTTTTAAAATCATAATTCGACCTTACTCAAATTTCAACCTGTTTCAATATCATAAACAGTTTAACGCATTTTGATATTTAATGAATTGCTTGAAGTCCGTTGCCATGAATGTAGAATCGGTTCAATCTATGATTAGTTTGTGCAAGAAGATGAAAAAATTAGAGGTATCATTATTTAATTAAGTTAGCATATATAAAGATTTAAAAAAGAGATTTAAATACTTTGTTTGATACATATATAAAACTGTGCAGGCCCTACTATCTAGGCCCTGGTACATGTATCTACTATCTAGGCCCTGGTACATGTATCTAAAATCTAGGCCCTGGTACATGTATCTACTGTCTAGGCCCTGGTACATGTATCTACTGTCTAGGCACTGGTACATGTATCTAATATCTAGGCCCTGGCACATCTATCTACTGTCTAGGCCCTGGTACATGTATCTACTATCTAGGTCCTGGTACATGTATCTACTATCTAGGCCCTGGTACATGTATCTAAAATCTAGGCCCTGGTACATGTATCTAATATCTAGGTCCTGGTACACGTATCTAATATCTAGGCCCTGGTACATGTATCTACTATCTAGGCCCTGGTACATGTATCTACTATCTAGGCCCTGGTACATGTATCTACTATCTAGGCCCTGGTACATGTATCTACTATCTAGGCCCTGGTACATGTATCTACTATCTAGGCCCTGGTACATGTATCTACTATCTAGGCCCTGGTACATGTATCTACTATCTAGGCCCTGGTACATGTATCTACTATCTAGGCCCTGGTACATGTATCTACTATCTAGGCCCTGGTACATGTATCTACTGCCTACTGCAACTGTGATAGATCAGAAATAAAAGAAGAAGTTTACCCTCCTCCTGGAAACCCACAGGGATTTATTCAGCTCTGTAAGGTTAGTTGGCATCATAAACATAGAGATGAGCGCGTTCCGCTTTTTTCATTTTGTTCGTTCATCGTTTATGAACGACCCAGTTTTTTTTCTATCGTTAAAAAATTTATTTTTTTCGTTCTCAATGTTTTTGTACATTTTCCATCTATTTCGTTCGTTTTCTCTTATTCTCAATCGTTCAGATCGTTCAGGTCGTTCAGTAAAATCGTTTGTTCAGTAAGATTGTTTGTTAAGTAAAATCTTCCGTTTAATAAAATCTTTTTCTAAGTGAAAAACTATCGTTTTTGAAAGTTTGTTTGCATAAAACGTTCGTTCAGTAAAAAAACGATTGTTTTTTTTCTCAAATCTTTCATAAAATTCGATTCTTTAGTAAAAAATTGTTCAAGATTGTTCAAACGATATCAAATCGTTTGTTTTTTGGTCGTATTGAAAAACGATAATTTTTTCTGGTAAGGGCTACTCTTACAAAATTGGGTGTGTAATTGTAAACCTAAGGATTTTAGTATCGAAGGTTCGTTGAATTTCCGATTTAATTTTCATTTGGGAATGGGATCGGGAAACAGTTGGAGGCATTGTTTTAACACAATTGTTTTAATTTTTTGCTAGTGCATGGATGAAGAAACCTTGAACTCCCCAGAGATGACCGCTAAGCTAATAGGAAATAGACCTAATACCTACACTTTTACTAAGGTAATAGACCTAATACCTACAGCACCACCTTTACCAAGGTAACCAGACTGTGTAAACTAAATTCAACTGCGTACCAGACCTTTAAACCAGGGACCATTGTCTGAATCATGATTAACAGAGTGGGTTGCATCAGATAGATTATCAAGTACAATGGGTGGCAACAGAGAAATGAACCAATTATACACGACGTCAAAAGTGTCAAATATAACAAGGAAAACGAAATTGTCTCACATTAGTTGACATGTTTTCCAAGATTAAATAAAAAAGTGTAAAAACAGAAACTAAAGAACTCATAAAATTGCACTTATTTTACTGTAAGATAAGCACTTTATTCTAAAATTATTACTATTATTGATAATTTTGTCGGACACACAAACTGAATTGACACTTGTGACGACAGAATACAACTGTACTGAGAGTGTACAAATTCTACGGTGCCATCTATTGTACTAGAATCTATTTGGGTTGCATTATATAAACCAGTCTTACACTTACCAAGAGCATACTTAATTAATAGAGCATGTAGACTGTAGATTGTAGATTGTAGATTGTAGATTGTAGATTGTAGATTGTAGATTGTAGATTGTAGATTGTAGATTGTAGATTGTAGATTGTAGAGGTATTTCCAACCAAGGGTAAACAAACCTAATACCTATACCATCAGTAAAATACAAATTTAAACCATAAAATGCCAACCATTTCATCAAAAACAAAAACTTTTTTTTGTGACATTTGGTAAAAATCAATATCATAGTTTTTTTTTGTTTTTGTTAAAATATCACATTTGTTTGGCGGATAGCAATAAGACGAGGATTTGATAACCACTAACTATATTTTTAATTTAAATTTACAAAGTTAGAAAATATATCATGTTTTAAAATC